GCACATATATATGCGATCTCGGATATGATGGAGATGTCTGGCTTCTGAACTCACTGAATTGGATGCTCTACACTGTTTGGGAGGTCCTCGCACTGTGTCTTTCAGTCTGGATCGCTGTAAAACACTTTCGTGACCTGCGACGACTCGGGCCATCTCGGACAAGGTCGACCATTGGGGACTGTTTCACAGTGCTGATAAAATCTCACGTGCTTTATTTTGCAGCGTGAGTTTGTAATGTGGATGTGGTTATTTTTATGTGCTGACGTTCTGCACGTGCTAGCTTCGTCTGTGTCCCTTGTCTTGAGCTTGCGATTCTCTCTCCAGAGCTTGCGACTCTCACTCCAGGACTTATGGTGCGCTGACCTATCGCTGACATCTACATGTAACCACTGCTAATTATCCCTGGAGAATTCAAGTTATATGGGCACTCAGGTACTTGTTGGTGTTCTTCCAATTTTCTTGGGCGTGCAGATGTTTGTTCTGGGACCACGCCTCATCCTTAGTATTCGAGAATATCACGCTAAACTCGTGGGCAACTCCGACGCAGAAACTAGCATGACTTCGATTGTCTTCCAGGAGCGTGTGCATGTATCAACTAGCAGTACTGTGTAGTGCCACACCATATTCAAGGATTGATCTCCGTGAATCTGATCTCTTCACCTCCGGCATAGGTTTATCAACAACGTCTGCGAGACGGTTCGGGTGTTTCTTTCATTCTAAGCATGTACTCTTAAAAGATTATGAGGCCAAAATTGCAGTTCATGCAACCTACATGTATTCTTGGCTCAGAAGACCATCGAAGACACTCCTTCTTTCTCAATGATCATCACACACTTGAACATATTGATATGTGCACAGCGAGCGGCCTGCGACATTACTAAAACTTGACATGCCTCCGAAATAAATCGATGAAGATATTGATAACTGCACATCAAGCTTGAAGCCGTCCATCTTCTCCCTCGTGCTGTTCTTCAACACTCACTGACAGAGCATTCCTATTCAAGCTTCGGGCACCGGCTGGGAAGCTCTTCTCCTTTGGCAGACACCCTGATAAACGGTGAAGTAAATGGAGTGAGGATTTTGCATTCTGCGGGCGTCATCGAATGGAGGTCAGCAAATGCTGATCGGCGAGCTTCGTCTGACAGGTAGTGAACTAGCACAGGGCGCAGCGACCGATTCATGAAAAGTACAGGTGGTCGCCATATAGCACTGGAACAAAAGGAGCAATGAGAAGTGGTAACAGGATGTGAGCTTGCGTGAGTGTTGTACGGCGTGCTGGATGGTGTAGATCGTATCCATGTATGGCTGACTATAGTGTCGTGAAACAAAATGGAAGAGTAACTTGGAGGTCAAAAGGAGGGAGGGCACGCAAATAAATTGCAAATAAGCAGCACAGCATGACGGGATGGACACCATTGACACCGAGCCGGCGGCTATTCGCTAGATATATATGTTAGACATAGGCCTAGTGGCACTGGCACAACGTTTTCACGATGCCCTCGGGCTAGCTTACTAGTATAGAGCACTGGCATGATTTGCCGTGTTCAAATTGGTTCTAACTAAAGGAGGGTTTCCCTGATGACAATTCAGGTACAACCAGCTATCCATCACCATCATGTAACCGTCATGCCGATTTTGGTGATATTACGAGCCCTGACTCGGAGCGCTGAACGGTAGTATATTTGACACGAACACTAGATCGTTACACACCACAACATCCCCCACTCGCTCACCCATCCCTCAAATATGACCGTAGTCTCGAATGGTCCCAGTTGGTGGCCAGTAGTCAATTCGAATGTTCTTTTCAGCTATTGGATAGGTTCGTCTCATTAGGATGTCTCGATCTAACATTGACTTGCAGTTTCGCAGTTGCTGCCGGCGTCGTGGTGGTATACGATTGGGGTGAGCAGGACAGTGTTCGCAAACTGCTGACATTCTTATGATATCCAGTATTAACACTCGGGCGGGAGGTAGGTTGATGTTATCTTCGGAACAGCCAACTCGCTAAGAATAATCTTATAGATTGAACTGATCTGGGTGGGTGACGGAGCTCCATATCAGAAGAAAAACAACAAGTACAATAATTTTTGCGCAGAAGCAACGCAGGTCTCTCATGACTGTGCTGTATTTGGTTGTTCGTACCTCATGTTGTGCTATAGCGTGGTTGGCAAGTTGTGCTGACTTCAAAATGTTTTAGATACGTTATATTGGAATATTATTTTCCGTGTATGTGTCGAGGCCAACAGATTGGCACCGTGCTAATAGCTCATCTCTGACCATCAGCACCAATATTCTGGGTATGTCTCGTATCCGCTGTGTTCGATTATTCTGACCGGCGGTACATAGCATTTGCGCCATTTATCTCGCTGACAGATGCAGTGAGTATTACGCAACCATATCATTCCCATCCAAATGAATATAGTCATTGCAGGGGTGAGTGAGATTCTGACGATTGAACTTGGCTCGACATAATGATTGAATAGGTGTAAGTTGGAGTGTTTGATCTTAGTACGGGGGTGATCACTAATTGGGAGTTTCAGGCAACATTTTGTACTGCGCAATAAATGTGACAAGTGTGGTCGTGACTGCCATGTTGGGCGGTGAGTTACCTAGCTGCAATACCACTGTGATATTGACTCGACTGAAACATGATGCAAGCCATTATGATTGCTCGATTGCATACCATGTATGGGAGATCTAGAATGATTCTGTCAATCCTTGTTGTTATCTTCCTGGCTGTTAACATCGCCTGCGGGGTAATGGCGGCACTAGGACTCAAGGATACTGTAGTGGGTAAGTTGTATTTGTTGACTCTAAGAACAACATAGCTCATCGGACAAACACCAGAGGAGCTGATAATCTCTGGCACATATATGTGCCATCTTACACTTGAAGGGAATGCCTGGTTTCTGAACTCGATGTCTTGGATGCTCTACACTATTTGGGAGGTCATCGCACTGTGTCTTTCAGTCTGGATTGCTGTGAAACACTTCCACGACCTGCGACGACTCGGTCCATCGACAGGATCGACTATTGGGGACTGTTTCAGAGTGCTGATGCAATCTCATGTTCTTTATTTTGCGAGGTGAGCTTGTAATGTCAATTTAGTTTTCTTTTTCTCAACTTCCGCGCGTGCTAGCTTTGTTGGTGTCTCTTGCCTTGAACTTACAATACCCTCTATAGAGCTCATGGTGTGCTGATCCGTTGTTGACATCCGCGTGCAACCACTGCTAATTATTTCTGTAGAATCAAAATTCTTTTGGAACTCAGATACTTTTTGGTGCTCTTCCGATTTTATTGGTTGTGCAAATGTTTGTGCTGGGACCACGCCTTATCCTTAGCGTTCGAGAATATCATGCCAAAATCGTGGCTGACTTCGATGCAGAAATTAGTATAACTTCGATTGTCTTACAGGAGCGTGTACATGTACCGACTAGCAGTACTTTGTGGTGCCACGTCATATTCAAGGAGACTTAGTCTCGCCGAATCTAATATTTTCGCCTTCGGCATGGGCTTATCGACAACGTCTGCAATCGGAAGGACCATGATAAGTTAATAACCCTCTGATATCACTACAACTTGATATGCCTCCGAAATAGATCAACAAAGAAGCTGATATGTCGGTAATCACTGCACATTAAGCAAGCCGTCCATCTCTCTCTCGTGCTCTTCTTCAACAGCTACTGACAATACTTTGTTGAACCAGATATCGCCAACGTGTATGGCATGTCCCATGCAGTTGAGAAGCTCCTCTCCCTTGGTAAACACCATAATACACAGTTGTGTAGATGGGGTGGGGAGATCGTGTTCTGCAGGGATTATCGAGCGGAGGTTAGTAATATCAGACACATCGACAAAAGCTGGCTGGCAAGCTTCGTCTGACAGGTCCTAATGAAGTGGCACAGGACGCTGATTCTGCATTGGAATCGCAGGCAATCTGACATGGCTTTCAAGGTACCTGCGGCGAGTTTGCATAGATGGCGACCAGGGCACCCTGGCAGATTAAAATCAGTTTCATCTATCCATAAAGTGATGTCATCGCTCGGATGGATTGCGCTTGACATGTAGATTCAGGATGATATGATGTCCCAATTTTTGATAGTACGTTTGAAAACTCATGAACAACGTTTTCACCCGAAGGTAAGGATGATGAAAGCGGATCAGAGGATGTGAAAGAAATAAGGCCTTCAAGAGTTATTAGTCAAGTGTGAACGAGCTCGAAATTTTGATCTCTCTGTATGGAGAATGAGAAGACAGAAGGGATCTTCGCGATTGCTCCACGGAGCCGACCATGGACGAAACTGTGGACGGAACCAACACCTCAAAAGATGGCGTAAATATCTGTGATCGGTTCTTGAAACTTGAGCTCCTTTCGATGGAGCTCATATGAAGCGCACATAGCTCCGCAAGAATGTCTGCCCGATTCGTATATTCCGTCAGACTGGCCTTACTATTCTAGAAAGCATGCAGTCAGAATCTGTCAGATAACCGCTTCAATCCCACGGGAACTTTGATCAATGCGAGCTCCTTCAGAAAAAGATACCTCAACCTTGTGATTGCTCGATAACCTATCTACCGATCGCTCCCATGGCTGCGAGTTCGAACTGACACCTGTAGGCACCAGAGATATGTCGATATTGTATGTTTTATCTCAGGCTTCGGTCGAGAGGTAGAATGGAGTGAAGGTCTGATTTCAGCCAAAATCTCTGAAGTGATGACATTACTAAACCTGACCTCAGCGAACTATTCGTAAATCGATTCGCTATGCCACGACATTAATGAGCTCAAGACAAAATGAAGAAAGAATTTTTTACATCAACATTTCCTATGTAACGCCAAACACTACGAAAGTAGCCTATGAATCCCAGAGGGCAGTTTGTATTTCGCTCCAGAATTCCGAATGGGCTTGTCAGTGTACAAGTTGTTGCAGTTAAAGTGAATTCCACAATGCAGAAAAGATAAAAACAACCTCACCTATGAAAACCGATACGATATATGCTTTACAAGGGCCGTTTGGGAAGTAGCCTGATGATACGGTCTCGCTTGACTGTATGTCCGTCCTTCCCGAAATAGCGGGTGGAATCAAAGGACCAGTGAAGCACACCAATAATCCAGTCTTGCAGCCCTTGGAGGTAAATAGCCACCTGTTTGTCAAGCTCTCTGCCCCATGAGGGGATGATAGCGCGGTTGTGTTCAAAGCGCTGGATAGCACCCTTGCACAGCCAATCGGAATAATCTAGAGCGCCTTGCAAATTCAGGTCTTGTTCGCGCATGAGCACAACAACAAGATTATGTGTGTCATGGCGAGATTGCTCCACATTGTAAGAGAAAATATCCTGTCAAAAGTGATGTCAGCAGTGCCGACAACGTCTGACAAAGAATGAGAAATCACATTGGACCAAGTAATGAAATCATTGGTTGCCTCTTCCACCGCTATCATGACTGGATGTGACATTACTTCATCAGGTAGATCAATCCCAGCTGCATATTCAATGAAGACAAAGCAAGGCTTGCAGGCGCTCGTGTCTCGCCTCACAGTGATGTAGGATTTAAGATCAGGGATACGTTTTTTGGCACGATCGTCTGCCTGCTTAGCCACCGCAATGAAGAATAGGTCCATTGTGCGAATAAACCGCTCAGTGCAGCCAGAGCTGCTGGTCTGCCTAAAGCGGCTGAAGTACCTGGTATGTAGACGGTCAGTCTCTAATGAAAATGTAACTCAATAACCCGGCGTACGATTTGCACATCTTTACACCGAGTTTTTCTGTCTCTGAGTTGATGGGATCACGAAGCGCAGAAATGCAGCATTCACGCATTCCCCACGTACTGTCAACATCGAACGCATCCAACCAGTCATCCATATTGGACAACCAGTTGAAGAAATCTGAGCAGACTCGGAGATGGAAAGCATCGGCATCAGGGTAGCAAGCTGCGGCAAGTTCACCTGCGCGCAAACCCATAAGTGTGGTAATTTCGAGCTCTGTGAGATGCGTTCCGGTAAGAAGCCATTCTTCAGACGCGCGGGAGATTGGATAATAGCGAGGGTTCAGTCGCAGGGGATAATGGATATCACTGACAAGGTCGGGTAAAATGAATTCTGTAGGCTCGGAGTCGGAAAGAGTGGATGTATAAGTTACAGAAGAAGCCATGCTGTAAATCTGGATACACTAGGCGTAGGTTGGGGACATAAGCAACAGATTACTCTGGTACGTACCCGCCTTTATAGTGAACGTGCCTTTCGCGGTCAAATCCGTATTTTGGATTGGTGCTTAGATTGCGAGAAAAGGGAACGGTAAACACATGCCATGGCAGCAGTGCCGGTAACCGCTCGCTAGGCAGGGCATAAAGGTAGAGTGTAAGCAATCCAAATATGACCCCATACTCGCCACATAAGGGCACCACATAATGGTGTGCACCGGTTTTTGTAGGTTAAAAACATGCCCTGCCAGGTATGTATAGACCAAAATGGCAAAAATTAGCGCCTGGTCAGTCAGCAACACCCAAAATCGTCAAAGCTGAACGAATTTGGGAAAGGTACTAGAGACCTGGTTTGGAGGCAAGTGAATCCTGAGGGCGAACGGAAGTCACAAAACCAGAGAAACAACTCGGCTGCAAAAGGTGAGCCGGATTTGGGGCGGGTAACGGATTCATAACATGTGCTATCCGTGAACCTGATTTCAAGAATAAGTCGCAGGAAGAGACGCAGCAACATTCGCCTAGGCCTCAGCATATTGAAGTAATGTTTTTGGTACCGGCCGCAGCGGCATTTCCTTCGACGACGTACTGGAAAACATAGATGTCGATGTAAGATTGACAACATCCAGAGTGGATTGCTATGTATGATGATGTTTGCGATGTCGAACTCACTGACGTGGAAACCGTGAGCATTCCAATCGACGAAGTTCATGTGCTTACTTACCGCGTGCTCGGATCAAGAAGACGACTTCGCATGATATCCTATACAAGAGTAATTGGACTTCATGTCAATGTATTCGATTAGTCTCTAAATCATCCCCCTCGCGTGGTATCTCTCCTGCGAGGTCCCACAGACTTCAGAATATTCCTGCTGCATTTTATGACATAGCAATTGAATCCGTTTATCAGGAAGACTCACCAGGTTCTTGCGTTCAAAAAGAAATTGTTGTTCGATCGTTGTCCACCAGGAGGTGCTTGTTGATTCTGTAAAAGCAACCGCCGTATTATGTTGCTACATAGTAACCTAGAAGCGTGCAGCAAATGGTCTGACCGGTCAGGCCGTCAGGGACAATACTTACTAGAGCAAAGTGGACCGTCGTTGGGAGAAAGCTTACCAGATATTAAGAGTCTTGAGTCTTGACTAGTGATGACTCCACCAAATGCTATTGTGTTGTGTCTAAAACACATTTGACACAATACAACAGCATTTCGTGGTACGGACTGTAGCTGGCCAAAGGTTGACCGGTCAAGATAGAGATGCTGGGTTTGAAATTTGCTCGCAACGGAGTTGAAGTCCGCCTTGTTACATAATACGACGGGGCCAGCCTCCTGATGTTCTGTGAGTATTTGTGATGTATGAGTCTACAAACATACTATGGTTGACTACACCAACCTTAGCATAGCTGTCCTTGTCTTGACCGGGCCTAGGCTCTCCACTATTCTCGTGGTTTGCCTTATTACCGCTATCACTTTCATGTATCTGCCATCACCTTACATGCGTCCGCCTTGGCCGACCGTTCATACTGCTTCTCCTTTCCCGCACAGCTCGTATAGTCGACTCATCAATTATCTCTAACTGATGTCTCCATTTCTCACGCCCAGTCTTGAGCCACCTTGAGTATTTGCACTCAAACTGCGTGTCGTTCATCGGCGGTTCCGCTCGCAAGGTCAGCTCCCGCCTTTCAATTCTTCCTACCTTCGACTTCCTCAAGGGGTGCCACCCGGGGACTTTTTAGATGGCATGGATGTGATATCAGATGCTCGGGTATGTATCTCATCGCATAATCCCTGCTAATCATGTAGATTTGATTTCGTCATGCCACAACCACCGCACCGCTTCTACCCAGACATGCTATTCCAACCCTCAAGCACCTTCCAAGTTCTATATGCCACACTCTCCAGCATTACTCCAGCATCCAACTGTATCCACCGCCCGCGCACCCTCCAGCACCCCGCTATGTTCCCACCATCTTTTACGGCACAGTCACGGACCTCGTCACCGGTCGTCTATGCTCTCACTCTCGCTGTGTAATCTCGTGCACTGGCAAGTATATTCTCCCTTCTCTTGGTTTTTTTACTTTTGTACTAAGGACACTAAATAGACTGCTCCATCATCCCATCTGTCCAATTGGCACATCCGATCTATCGCACATGTTTTAGCACTCTCCGTCACGTATCTCACTCAACAACCCACCCACCTGCAGAAGCCACGGTCTCCAATTTTCTCAACACCCACCGCCTCCAATTGCTTCTTACCTCCATTTCGTCGCTGTGCCGTTTTTCCTCATTGCTCCTCATCATCTTCTAGCATCTCCTGCCATGTTGACAACTATTCATTTATCATTTAGCCTGCTGTGGCTACTGACGCTTTCTCATGGGCCGTGGCTGATCCAACCTACCACACACCTTTGTACCCACTGTTTAGTGATGACAAGTCAGCCGGCTGGTTCATCCGTATTTGCGTACGCTTTCCAATGTGTTGCGGTCATACTGGTGAGAAACTTGCATTTTGGTCTATCTTTTCTACTGATAATCCTACCACTACTCACCAGCCGGGCTCCGAGATCCTTCGAGTCTTGTGAGAATCAAGTTACTTATGCCCACCATGATGGCGAACGCACGTAGGCAGAATGATTACGAGTCTAGGTTCTATTCTGGGCACTAGGAACTTCCTTGTTGCTGGCCACATGCTCTGGACTCTGCATTGGCGCCTTGAAGGATTTCACTTCACATGAGTAATATAAATTCATTCGACTATTCTCTTGAAACGCAACACTGAAGAAATAGTAGTGCGTTCCGACTCTCAGATCTCAAGTCCTCCAGATTTCAGACTTCGGCTTTCTGGATTCTGAGATGATATGAAAATCCATCACTGAAATAGACCACGACAGATGTGCATGTATCAGTCAAATGTCAGTAGCCAATATCAAACTTCAAATCAAGTTGATTTTCTGTTATCGATGGCTTATGTCGTCCTGCAGTGTCATTCAGCGTTGCATTTATCCTCGATATGCACTAGTACTAACTACTGGTAAGAAACAATGGTTATTTTTGTCAGTTTATGACAACTCGAGTAAGACACGTCAGAACTCCGGAAGCGACAGGTAACAAAATCCCATAGAGGACCAAGAAAGTGAAGAAAGGTCACGGTGGCACCGACCGCGTCTGATGACTCGGATGCCCGCGGGTGCAATCACTCGGTCGGAAAAAAGGAAAACAACATTGCACCGGGAGGAATTAGACTACAATGTAAAAGTGAACAAAGAAGATATACAGTCGTTGAAACAATATATGGAAGACCCTGATTTGCAGACCGGCAGTACGACCGTGACTTTGTCAGCGTGTATATAAATATAAGCATGCATGCTTGACTCCATGGTTCATTTGGAGCACTGGGAGGTTCCAGTGACTAGCAGTTGATGCTCAGTGCTCAGTGCTCACTAGTGCACTCACCGTTTGGTAGCACCGCAACAGCGGTCGCGGCAGTTGCCGCAGTACAACCGCAGCAGCATTTTCACGACACCGCCCATTCTATTGCTGGATTAGGTACATAGAGGAGAGCTTCCACTCACAACTGGATCTTCAAGATACCTTCCAATATCGGTCGACTTCATGTCTTATCTGCGTAGCTGGTTTTCGCTTGATACCTCAAGTCCCGTGACCACGGTTGAGTCCAACGACTCCTACCCAAACCAGTCACTTCCGGTCCTAGAAGTTAATGAAGATGATGAGGACGATGGATCGGACACAGCAGGTGAAGACGACGTACCGCCCGCTTTCCCAGCGATCAACAGTGCACAACGTGCTGCCACTTCGCCTTCTTCATCTTCAGACTCATCCAGGGGATTCAGCATACCAAACATACTCACCGACTCTGCATTGATGCCCCCACCGCCTGCGCCCAGCCTTGCTACACGCCGACCAGGTGTTCCGCCTCCACAGAGTTCATCGTCTCTTCTTGCACCTATGACTACGACTCAACCACCCAAACGACTTTCTAGACGGGATAAAGTTGCTTTAGCGCCTGGATTTGGTCCTCTTGATTGGGGAAATCTCAAGGCATCTGGCCAGAACTTACGCGTAAGCAAGTCGATGGCGTCTCTAGTGCGATGTAGTGAGATTTTATCAGGGAGTTGATGCATTAATGCGCATTCCACCATCTGTGCTTAAGTTGCACAACAAGAAAGAGGATGCTTGGACAGCGATCAACGGGAAGGTCTATAATATCACACCCTACCTCCCATATCATCCAGGTGGTGAAAAGGAGCTCATGAGAGTAGCGGGTAGAGATGGAACTAAGTTGTTTTGTGAGTACTTGTCATATCTTCATATGAGCTGCACCATTGAACGGGATAACTTAGCCCTGACACATGCATGGGTGAACGCGGACTTCATGCTTGATGCATGCCTGGTCGGATTTCTAGTTTCAGAACCAAGCTAATAATTGATGGGACGTGACGTTGCATATAATTGTTTAAACTAGAACTGCATGCTGCTATCGATATCTGTACCCAATCAGCCGATCACTTGCTGTGCTACGACGGGTGCCGCATAGGTACTGTGATGTACTTGGCGCCCAAACCGGACTGCCACGAGATGGACATTTGAGCTGCGGTTGCTTGTGTGTTCCTCTTCTGCTAAATTTGTGCAAAGCCCTAACAGGTGACTACCAGAGTTATCGCAGTCGTGATATTTAGTGCCGCAACTCACTACAAGACTATGGAAACATCCTATCGCCTTGGTCCGATAGAAACGCTACCATGCGGCTGAAGGCACCTCTGGAACTCGGTCGCCCGTCAAGGAACGCAGAGATCCGTCAATCGTCATAATGTGGTTCAGAATATCTACTTTGATTATATCGCATCCCAAAATGGTAAGCGAGTGATGTGGTTGCGCAATATGACCTTCGACTGGCACCACATTCCGCATTGAGTTTCAGGGAGTGGTCGCCTGACCTCTTTGTTCCAATATAAAGTACGAGGAATGTGTAACGCAGACGCTGACGATATATTCTTTCCTTTCAATCGCGACAACATGGCACCAGTAGCTATCAGTGAAGAAAGCGGCAATGGAACTATCGGCAGTGTTTCAGAGTCGAAGAAAGTTCAAGCTAATCAACGGATAGAGGACACTCGGATCATAAATCCCTTCTACTCGCCCAGTGCTGGTAACGAGAACGACGATGACTATTCGTATGCCAAGTATAAGGTGAGTGACTTTGGGTTTCAATCTCACAGGCAAAGACTGATGCTTTACCAAGCCCCGCTTCCCCGTTGTGAATTGGGAACCGCTCACAGAAATTGAGGTCACCGACCGCGGCCACTTTGCAGATTCAAGCAAGACGGCTCTCTTCAGTGCTGCACAGAAAGTGAAACACCTTACACCCGCTATTGGCACAGAGCTCGTTGGCATCGACCTCCGCCAGCTAACGAATCAACAAAAGGACGAACTGTAGGTACCATCTACATGACTGCAACTATGTTTTAAAGAGTCTATCATGCCAGCGCCCTTCTTGTTGCGGAGAGAGGCGTTGTTTGTGAGTGAACCTAAATAGGTTTCCAACTTAGTGAACTAACACATCTCTCGCGCAGTCTTCCGAGACCAGGAGCTCAGCATCCACGAGCAACTTGACATTGCTAGACACTTTGGACCCCTTCATAAGCACGCGACGACCCCCGTCCCTCGAGAACCAGGACTTGAGGAGGTCCATGGTGAGTCAGGTTGTTCAAAAAACTGTGTGACTGTTAATTCCATCCTTCAGTCGTTTACAATGACGCTTCCCGACGCCCTGACGCTAGCGCGTTTTCGAAAATCGAGCTTTGGCACAGCGATGTGACATACGAGATCCAACCGCCAAGTACCACGTCTTTGAAGGTGATTACTGGTCCCGAGTATGGCGGTGATACGCTCTGGAGCTCTGGGTAAGTAGCAGAAGATGTCTCGTTGTGCAAAGAATTATCCTGATGATCACGTACAGTTATGCTCTTTATTCCTCCCTTAGTCCTGGCATGCAGGTATACCTCGAGGGTCTCACAGCTCTGCACAGCGCCGTCGCGCAAGCACGTGGATCTCGCGCAGCCGGCCTCCACGTCCGTCGCGAACCTGTCGAAAGCATACATCCTGTCGTTCGTGTCCACCCAGTGACTGGCTGGAAGAGCGTTTATGTCAACCCTGGCTTTACTCGTCGCATACTTGGCGTCCCCAAACCTGAGTCCGACACCATTCTCAATTTCTTGTTCCACCAGATCGCCGAGAATGTTGACTTCCACGTGCGCTTTCACTGGGAGCCGAATTCAGTCGCGTTCTGGGATAACAGGGTCAGTGCTGTTTCTACTCAACGAAGAGCGCAGAGTTTGACCAGATACTAGATTGTGACTCACACCGCAACTTTCGATTTCTGGCCTCAAACCCGCCATGCACTCAGAGCTACGCCTCATGGCGAGAAACCTGAGTCTGTTGAAGACTACGAGAGCCGTACAGGCAAAGTGGCGAAAGATCGTCAGATTGAGATCTGGAAGGAGCAGGGAATCGAGATTCCACAGTCGAAGAAGGGTCTGTCTCGGGCACGCGGATATAATGACTGAGATGTTAGTCTATACTTTGATTGCAGAGTATGACAGAAGTTCAAGCCACTGTGGCTTCTAGACAGAGCGGGTGAACAGCCACGCAGCACAAACATTTGATCCAAACAACCTTGGAAGCATCGCTACATAGAGACGTTGAGACTTTGACTGATAGCAGATTTTCCGTACTACTAATAGTGAGTACTTCGATGTACCCTCTTTATTTAGGTTTGAGTATACCATCCACTACTACAAAAGTCTATGGAGTTCCCGTCTCGACAAACGCCCACTTTCAAGTTGAACTCAAACTTGAGCACATAACGGGCGGCGGCCCTGCGCCATCGAGTTCATTGCGTACCAGGCTCGCCTCAATCTCCGGCAGGTAACCATACTCCAGACTTTCGGCGTCGTAATTGCTTGATGGTCCCTCGTGAATCGCGACATTGTGCTCAAATTATAGACATTGTATCGCAAACACATTACGAAAAGACCACAAAAATGTTGAGATGCAACACTGAAGTGCTCCAGTCAAAATACGAGCAGATAGATTATATGGTTCTTCCTCCTTATTAGTCCTCAAACATCACAAGCGAAAATGATACACACATATGATAGTCATGGGCTTTCAGAACCCTCGCCATTAATTGCATTGTTGAAACTTAAGCAGCACTTTGCTAGACGGAATAGTTGTTTTCCATCCCGATCGATCGCAAGCGATAGCGGAGTAGAGATACTCATACCCTCTCGTGCTGTGGCACCCAGAAAATCAGCAAAGTTGCGCAGGGCTCTTGTGTGATGGCCGATACGTCCTGAAGTCTCGGCGTCCATATCTGAGTGATCCTCGAATCCTCGTAAAGCGCGTTCGTAGTCGAGCACACACTGGATCAGACGAAAGAAGTTTCCTCCGTCTCGCTCAACAGCCTCCAGAATGCGATTGTCCGTTTCATTCTCGCGGAGGCTGTCAAGCCAGTCAGCAAATTTGGAGCAGTGTGAGACGATTTCTGTGTCTGGGCTTGAGTTTGAGAAATACGATGATTCATCGGAAGAGCCATGTTCATCGCTCTTGTAGCCTTTCCCGTACTGGATGTTTTCTCAGAGTCAGTGTAACACTTGTGGAGACTTGAAAGAACCTACCTGTTTCCTTGGAGGCTGGCGTCCAGTGGATTTGCGAGCGATATTCTTCCGGTGGCGCTTCACTCCACCAGGGATGGAAGTTGGACTTGGATGAGAACCTGATACAGAGATGTTGAACGACATGCGAGTGTGTGGTACAAAGCACTAAGCAGGTACTCGTGTTCAAAGTGCACGTCCAAGTCTGCACGTGGGAGTGTTGCTGTTATGTAACAATTGTAGGTGTTTATCCTCAGGTACGGTAAATTGAAGCATCACACTTGGACATTGTCATATACGTCGCACCCCATGGACATGTTATGAGAGGTTCAGTACACCATGAACTGCACTCACATCTTCCCCACGTCTCTTTGGAATCAGGTACAAGACTCCCAATATCAATTTTCAAGATTAGGTTCGGCCTCGAGGCTCCAGAGGGAACGTTCGACTAGGCTCTCGCAAGCGCACTTTTAGCACGGCTTGTGCAGTCTTCCTTCCTTGCCAACCATACGAATCGGATTCCAAGAATGTTATGGCCAAGTCAGGTGAAGTTTTCGGAGACTCGCCATCTAGACCTATCTTAGACCAGCCGACATGATCGATAACCGGGCATATGGTGTAGCTGGTTATCACATCCGCTTAGCATGTTGCTGGAGTGCGGGGGGTCTCCGGTTCGAGTCCGGATTTGTCCACTGTTTTGCTCAAGAATCATAGGCCCAGCAGTACAATGTTTTATCGAATCTTCATCAAATCGATTTTTCAAAGATCGGTCGCCGACTCGCCGATAATCAATGCGTCTATCCGAGTCCTTTCTTGTGATAAACTAAATATCATACACATAGCTCAGTGCTACTACCTAATGGGAGCTCCACAGGACATCCAGAGCTGGATTTGAGCCACATGGCACATGGAACGCACTGACACCATTGGCACTGCCTAGAGGAGTGATTCTCCAACCTTTTCTGTTCCCCGCAGTTTGTAAGCAATTGGATGCTTCTACTTCCTAGAAGTATGAAATCGAGTGTACAGCTAATTCATCATCGATGTCATCCATCGTATATACACGTAACATTACATTTGAGCCCTCGTGGAAGAACATGCAAAAGATGATCGATGAGATCTCTTAGAGGTGACTTATCATATCAAGAGGCATGTTCAAGTTGGGCGCGTACATACTAACAGGCAGATTCCACGACTACGAAACGATACGCACTGCTGTTGGGCGAAGAAATGACATAAATGAACGAAAGCATTTCTCGTGTGCACAGAACCATGATTTCAATCACAGGGCTTCATATATCATACTTCTAATGACTTTGCAATACAGCAGATATGCTAGGTCAACTTGAACCTTATTCTGAGCACACATGGAATACTGGAAGAACGCCTTCATGATCAGAATCCGGTCAGTTTTACCATAGCACCATCGCTCTCATTCATGCACCGACGCACATCAGACACGAGGAATTCAAATAAGGTACATCGGGTAAATATGCTGATAGTAATACGAGTAGAACCGTGATCTTTCTAGAAGAGGAATTTAATTTGTCGTGGCATACGTGTACTCAGTGGTGGCGAACCCGACTTGGGAGTTTGTCGTGTCGTACACCGAGTAGAACCGTTCGCTGTGGAAGAACAATTCAACAATCTATTTTCCCGGCAAAAAATGCAGCTCAACGTACAGGAAACAATAGCCGTTCGTAAAATCCAAGCCAGAACCGCTGCTGTCCCCACTGTCGCTGACGACCAGGTATATGTTATTGGTGCT